CTACTCTTCCTTTTGCTGGTGATACACCTGCAGAAGCCTTTCTTGTTGTCCATAATGCTCCTCATTAGATTCAGCTCCAGACAGGCTTTGGCATTCCTAACACCATCCTCCATTTTCTTTTTGTGTAATCTGATGCTATTTCCACATCTTGTACACTTCTTTTTTTATCTTTGAATTTAGTTGGGAGCTCATGGTTCATCCACACAGGCCCTCTTCCACATTTGCTGGACTTCCTGCTTTTCAGGGTAGACTGTTCTTTGGCTTGGAGGTGACTCTTGAGCATCATCCAGCTCTCCTGGACCTCTCTTCTCGCTAGGGTTTTATTCCACAAGATTTTTTCAAGCAGGCGAAAGGCTGCTCACCTGAAGTCCTGCATTGTCATTCAGCTTTTTACCTTGATCTTTCACCTCGGAATCCTGAACTCCACTATGTCATGGTCACTGCAGCCAAGGCTGCCCCTGACCTTCACATCCCAGACCAGTTCTTCCTTTTTTGTAAGAATTGAGTCCAGCAGAGCATGTGCTCTCTTTGGCTCCTTGGTTACCTGTGTTAGGAGGCCGTCATTGATGCACTTTCAGAAAACACATGGATTGCTTGCGTCTTGCTGTGTTGTCCCTCCAGTAGATACTGGGCTGGCTAAAGTTCCTAATGAGGACCAGGATCTGTGAACATGATACTTCTTCCAGCTGTCTGAAGAGGGCCTCATCATCCTCCTAATCAGACAGTATGTAGCTGATGTCCACCACAACCTCATCCATGTTGGTGTGCCCTCTAATCTCAGCCTGTAAGTGCTCAGCTGGCTGATCATCCATCCCAAGGCAGATTTCCTTGTGTTCCCAGTCATCTCACTGAAGAGGCAACTCACCATCCTTACCTTCTTGGCATGTGCTTCCCAAAAATCCTGTGTCCATCCTTTGTGGCATTTCAGTTCGGTGTGCTATCTCACTGTGTCTCTGTGATTCCAATGAGATCTTAGCCCTGCGACTGCATGCAGATCTCCAATTCCTCCTGCTCCCACATCTTCCTCATGCTGCCTGTGTTAGTGTGCAAGCACTTCAGAGAGACACTTGCCCATACTGACTTCTGAAAGGGGTGTGAGAACTTTCCCTATAATGCTGCTGTCCTGCAGGTACTTCAGAGTTTCTGTATGTATGCTTGGTGTGACCCCACTTCAGCCCTGTTTTGGAGAATCCCAGCTTCATGGACTTGAATTTAATGTTTCTTTGCCCTCTTGCTCTCTTTCTGTTTTCTTCCCTATTCCTTTCTCTTCTTCCTTAGCTAGAAGGATGTGAATAATGATCAAAAGGCTGTGAGGAAGAATGGTGGGGAAAATGTTGTCTTTTGTGATAAGCCCCTCCCTTAAGTTTCTTGCATGCTGAAATCTTTGCATTTAGACTTGAAATCACAATTTTTTCCTATTTTAATAGCAACGATATCTACTCATTGGCAGTGTAAGTATCCAAAACCTTGTTAAGTCCCAAATAAAATCATAGAATCATTATGGTTGGAAGAGACCTCAAAGATCATCAAGTCCAACCGTATATCCGATGCCACAATGCCTGCTAAACCCACTAAACCATGTCTTGATTTAGTAAACTAAAGTAAGTTTTTAGTAAACTAAAGTAGGTTTTCACATGCTGGTATTTAAAGAGGGATGTACCACTTGATAGAAGTTATTTGTATTGTATCCTTATTATTGAAGAGGTTAGTAGACTGTCTCTACAGGAACTGTTTGAAGAGATCTCAATTTCTTTCAGAGGTTTAAATACTTGACCAACAGAAACATGTTAGGAATAAAAGAATTTTCACTGGGCTTGATTTTTTAAGGCTGTGTGTGCTGCAGCACTGATTGAACTTACCTTCTTGTTTGTGTGCCATAAAGGTGCTAGAGAGCCAAGACAAAAAGAATACATTTCTGGAAAGGGACCAGGAACTACTTAGGACACAATTCTGGCAGGAAAGATAAGCTTGGAAAAAGTGAGCATGAGAACATTGTTCTGTTACTTGCTCTCACTTTTTTATTTTTAAATTAAACATTTTTTGCATGTTCTCACATACGACATTAGTGTGTCATCAAATTTCTCTGAACTGGAAATATTCAGTGATGTTTTCAGCATTAGTTAGTGATGTTAAAAGGCAGATGGTAATATTATATTGTTTTCTGAGTGATTTTGTGAAGCAGTGAGACTTGGTTTTATGTAATGTATAACTTTGTTTTAACGTATGTTATAACTTTGGTTATAACATAACAGCATGCAGTGAAATTATATTTTGAAGAATTGTGAAATAGTGGAATCTTGTTATCCAGTTAGAAGCAAACTTTCAAATGAGTTAATATTTCCCCTATTCCCCTTATTTGCAGGAGACAGCTGCAATCACTGGATGCATTATAGTGATGCCACTAAAACCAGAAGTGGATGGGCCAAAGAATTATTAAATGAATTCAAAAGCAATGTTGAATTGCTTAAGCAGGCTGTGAAGGACCAGGTTATAGAGTCTCCTCCCAAATCACCACCTGCTGTATCTCCTCAGAACCTACAAACAGGTACTTTGTTTGCCTCACTAATGCTCTAATTCCATGAAATGTTAAAACTATTCTAAAAAAGGCTGTTCTTTTGAATGATTCCATCACTATTCTTTCCTACAGGCAAGGAACAGATACCGAAAGGAACATCTAGGGCTTCCTCTGTATCTTCCCAACAACCAAAGGGCAAACTGATGTCTAGTCCTATTGTGGTTAGACTTGCAGATTTCAATATATATCAGGTACATTTCTTCAAGTTAGTAAAACTGGGACTGCTTCGCCCTTGACTGTTGCGTAACTATGGTTTTTAAGGGACAATTCCAAAGCCCATTGAAATTAGTAGAAGTCTTTCCATTCATTTTTGGATTAGACCTTTATGGGCCTGCTTCTGCTTTGTTAAAAGTGGTGAATATTTTCTTACTGACTTTATATTAGATGATACCCTATCACAATTATGTTTTGGATCCAAGTTCTACTGTTCCCCAAATCCTGACATTTGGAATTTCATTGTACTGTGTTAGGTACCCAATATTTTAATATGTGGTTTTGTGTTTAATGCTTTTGTTGTTATTTCTATCTTTTTCAAAGTACATGGATTTTTTTTAATGTTAAATCAAGATTTAAAAAAAATTTTTTCTCCAACCCCTCCCTCCCTCCAGTGATATTTTGAGTAGACACTTTAGCCATTCTTTTTTTTTT